ATATACAATATGGAATTTGTAAACTGTGTTAAATATACTTTCTAAACCTCGAATCTTAGGCTATAAGAACGTTCTTTTCTTAATTTCATTGAAGCTATCACACCTATTTAATAGAACATTCCAAAGAAAAGGGGCGAAGATTAACTCGTGGCGTTTGGCGCTAAATTTTGAATAGTGACCCGCCTTTCATAATTTCATGTTGGCGACTTGGGTTCAACTCCCCTTGTGTGCAAAAATTTTTTTTTTAACTTTTTCAGCTCGATTTTACTTTTTCTTTCCGGAATCGGACGGAAGACCTCTCGTTGCTCGCAACGAGTTTCACATCTAGTTAAGGTCTTCCGTCTTCACGGAAGACCTTATAGTGATTGTATTGTTTCTTATTAGGGTCTTCCGTCTCCAACGGAAGACCCTTCTATTATTCTATTGTTTCTTTTTCACTATTATTATTATTATTATTTTTTTTCGTCCAAATTTTGTGCAGACGATTTCTCAGAGATGCATGGACGGATTTCTTTGAAATTTTCAGAGATGATGTATCATGATCTAAACTTGACCCGTTTTTTTTTATTTTTGAAAAATCACTTCCGGTCGGAAGTTATCGATCTTTTATCGAATTTTTAGTGACCATTTTGTCGACACAAAAACTCAAAAATGACAAAAGCTAGAATGTTGTCATTTTTAGGACTTATAGATGACATGTTGTAGTTTTGCACCTATACTTTCAAATTTCCGTCAGTGCTTCCGGTCGATACCGGAAGCGAATTTAAAAAACCGCAATTTTTCAACTTTTTTGTTTTCCAATATTTTTCTTTGATATTAGACATCTTAAAAGTGACTCTTTTGCGAATGCGAAATACGTAATTTGTTTTAGAATCAAAAAAGGCAATCTCGAGATTTTCGTAATTAAAAATTTGAAGCGGTGTTTTCAATGGCTGAATGGTTAGCGCGTCGGATTGTCACGCGGGCGACCCGGGTTCGCTCCCCCGAATGTCCAATTTTTTTTATCACTTTTTCTGCAAGATTTTTCGTTTTTTACTTCAGAATCGGACGGAAGACCCCTCGTTGCTCGCAACGAGATCGTATCTAGTTATTATTATTATTATTATTCTTTTTTTGACAAAATTTTGTGCACGCGATTTCTCGAAAACTATTCAGCGGTTTTAAACGAAACTTTCACAAAAAATGCGTCATTACATGAAGTTGTGCAGTCTACAATTTTTTTTGGAAAATTCGCTTCCGGTGCCAAGTTATGGACAATTTTCTGATTTTAAAATGCGATTTTGTCGCGCACTTTTATCAAAAATGGCTAAAGATATGAACTGGAGACTTTTTGGTTTGCAGAATCACCTTTTTGTGCGTCGTCAATACTTCCGGTCGTTACGAGATGCAAACTTAAAAAATCGTATTTTTCTAACTTTTTTGTTTTTCAATATTTTTCATTGATATTTAGTATGTTAATAGATATCTTTCTTATAATGCTCACTATATAATTTGTTTGAATATTGATAAATCGAAACTCTAGATATTAGCATTTAAAAATCTGAAGCGGGACCAAGATGGCGGCTGTCTCTGTCAACTCCGACATTTCGCAATAAGGGTTTACGGAGTCAGCCGAGCGTTTGCTTGAATGAAGGTAAGACAAGGAAAAATAAAAGTAAAGGAATACTTGGATTGTCACGTCGTAGTTACGTTGCAATTCTGTGTCGAACTATGTTCTTCGTAAATGTCATCTATAATTGGTTTTGGCTGGTTCTCAAAGTAGAAAAAGAAAAGACTAAATGTGAAAATGAAATTCAATACCTAATACCGGTACCTTCTGATTTGCAACACGTGAAAACAGATCTTAAATCATAGTTACAAGTAATAGTTTTTCTAGAAACAATATCAATGAATATAGTATGTATAAAAATTACAATCTGTTTTTCCCATGCACACTTGTGTCATATGAAAATTATAGAAAAGACAAAATAAGATTACAGTTTTTTAAAAGATCGCTAAATGAAGTTTATATGAACATTCTTGTCTCAAAGATCTTATTCAAGTTATTTAGCATGAATGGTATCCGATTCATTGACTGTCTTCGGGCGATACATGTTTTTCGGCAAAACATAACAACCTTTTCATGAAAGCTTAGCTAGTCGGGATAGTTCACTTAGGTGAAAAACAGGAAATTTTAAAAAGTTAAAAATGCATAACTGTTTCACTGCTTTAGTGTTACTTGCTTATATATGAAATTTGTAAAATGTGTTAATTATACTGTCTTCACCTTGATATTTTAGCTATAAGAACGTTCTTTTTTTCTTTCCATTGAAGCTATCACACCTATTAAATGGAACATTCCAAAGCAAAGGTGCAAAAATTTACTCGTTGCGTTTGACGCAAAATTAAGAATAGTGATTCGCCTTTCATTATTCTAAGACAGATGTACTGTTGCAGAAGTATACATATACAAATACATTTAGAGTTGTGGTCCCAATAGCGTAATAGTAAGCGCATTGCATTTTCACGCTGGCAATTCGGGTTTAATCCCATTTGTCTCCATAAGAAGTTTGATCACTTTTTTTTCAGCTCGATTTTGCGGAGGTTTTTTTTCAGAATCAGACGGAAGACCTCTCGTTGCTCGCAACGAGTTTCTTTTCTAGTTATTATTATTTTTCTTCTTCTTCCTGGGTACTTTTTTGTCCGCGAGTGATCTTGTAAACTGTTTATCCGAAGTAGGTAAAACCTTTTTAGGGTTAGTAGACATGTTATGTAGATTTGCGGAATCAAGGTCATTTTCCGCGCATGTGCTTGCAAGAGCGTGCACGGGCAACACGTGAAATGACCAGTATAATAGATATAGCCGTAACTTTTCTATTTTGTGACTATATGCTTTGAAACTCATAATATAAGTATATATTAGTTGTATATGCATAATGACATGTTCCTCGCGCACGTGCTTGCAAGAGCGCGCACGTGCAACACGTGAAAGGACTAATATAAAAGATATAGCCGCAACTTTTCTATTTCTTGATGAAATGCTTTGAAACTCATAATATAGGGATATATTAGTAGTATAGACATGATGGCACGGTCAAAATAGCAAGATCTCACGCGCATGCACGTGCGCTTCGCTCTGATTGGCTGAAACTAAAGTCTCAATATTTTTCATGTTTCTTGTCATAATCTTTTGAAATTTTGAACAAAGTCTTAAATTATGAAGATCTACAGCATGATATATAAAAATTTTCATGAAAGCATGCGTATGCGTGCGTGCTGCAATCTGATTGGCTGAAACTTTAAATGGCTATATCTCCTTTGTTTTTTGACGAAATGCTTTGAAATTTAAAACATAGTCATGCAGTAGGATATCCTACTATACGATATAGAAAGAAAATCATGAAATCACGCCCATGCACGTGTGCTGCAATTTGATTGGCTGAAACTTTAAATGGCTATTTTTATTTTGTTTTTTTTGACGAAACGTTTGGAATTTTAAATATAGTCATTCACTAAGATATCCTTCAATACGATAAAGATAAAAAATTCATGAAATCACGCGCATGCATGTGTACTGCAATCTGATTGGCTGAAACTTCAAATGGCTATAACTCCCTTGTTTTTTAACCAAACAGGATGGGATTTAGAACATAGATAAATATAAGGGATTCCTACAAGAAGGTGTATTCATCATGCACTTGCTTGCACGTGCGTGCACGTGAAATGAGTAAAATTAAAAATACACTCGAATGAGTGTATTTTTTAATACTTTTGGATAACATCTTTGATATCAAGTATATTAAAATATATAGATAGTGTAGACAAGATAATATGGCCGTTACGCACATGAACACGCGTACAATGCTTAAATTTAAATACATTTTGTATTCTTCTGGGAAGACCTTGATAAGTTTAAATTCCATAAAGTATTTCTTATTTAATAGAGATTACAGGGAATATGGCACCAAAAGGGAGCTGGGGAGCGTTTGGGGAATATCTGTAACGGTCCCCGTTACAATTAGCACTAGTTGTGTGATGATCTTGATATAGGGACATGTAAAGAAGGTCATCATAATGTGATAGTTCCCTGTTTGTAATATTTGTGACTGCCAGATACGTCATGACCTACACAGCTTTTGCTTGATTAAATTAGATATAAAATTTATGATAATTGTAAATTACTGCATTTTAGATTTCTTTTTTTTTTTTTTTTTTTTTAAGGACATGTTTTACTTGGTCAATCGACATAAAGTAATAATAATGATACGTGTTCTAATAGAAGAATAAAAATTTACCTTTTTTTATAAACAATTAAAGAATGTACTTACAGAACTTTAAGTTTACCCTACAGAGATCCTTTCGCAAACATGCACTGATTTGAAAAAAAAAGACGTATGGTTATCGATTAGACAGGTAGAACTTTGGTAACAGATATATTTTCTTTTTTACATTCCAGATTTTTCCTGAAGAGATTACATGACATAATTTATGATCAGGGGTAACCTTAACAAAAAAGTATTAGATAACTATGGTTCGTCAACGTTTTCACTACATTAATGAATTTCAGATAGATATTCTATAGTTTTAAATAAAAATTCTTAGAAGTGATTTTCTAATACCAAAAGGAACTATTTCAGTTGAATCGATACACAAGAGCATGCTTTATGTATGTACAATTTCTGATGTAATTTTATGGTTTCATGATGTGACTAATCGAGTGCCTTGCGTGATAATTTGCATAAACGCCGAAGGTATGCTATCTAGTCATCAATATAATTTTTACAAACAAAATATTACACAAAAATTGTTAAAGTTGTTTTAATTAGTTTAAAACGACTAGTATTTAAATTCACTGCTTAAATAAAATATTAGTAACTAAATCCCAACAAAAACATTGAAATAGTCAAATACGTAGGAAAAAGAAGAAATACCTTCCAGTACCTGTAAATGTTTATTTCTATATAGGAAAAGTGAAAAAAGAATTAATAAAATCACATTTTTAATATACATGTATAATTGCATTCACTCATTTAACAGAGTAAGAAACGAGTGTTTATTATGTCATTAACAGCTAAACACATGAAATGAAATTCGAGTTATGATATGGAACAAACAATATTTTTCTCAAAAATCCCTTTCTAGACTTTTAGAATGCAGTTCCGTATTCTCAATTTCAGAATGGAGTTCTGTTTTCAGTCGTGGTATACGTGGGTGATGCTGGTCTTATTCCCTGTGAGAAAAATTTTACATAAAATATATTTTTTAAATAATAAAATATTTATGAATTATATAAAAAAAAATTATTTCATTTCTTGGACAACAATTTATGTTTTCTCACCGTCTGTGATTTGTAGAGATACGACTCCCTGCTGACATAAGGACTTTCAAAATTCTCCATCGGTTCACTGTAAATATGTGGCCTTTTGATGGAAAACTAAAATGAATATTGGTAAAAGTAAAAATGCTGTTTTCAGTCCTATATCTAAATTAAAGCTTATATGCTTCAGGAATACGAGAATTTTTGTTTTTAGAGAATTTCTCTTCAGACAGAAACAGTACCAAAAAGTGTTATTAAGAAATTTTTTATATGAATTATGAAGATATTGAAAGGAGATTTTTTCTGAAAGGACCATTTAAACGATACAAATTATGAGCAGCGTCTATATGGACCTTTTAAAACAAATGTGGAATCAGGTACCATAGAGAAGTAAGTATCCCTTAGTCACATCTATGGCACGTCAAATTCACAAAAATGAGCTAAACATAGTTTCACAGTCGATAAACTAGGTTTATCGGTTGTAAACTATAGTTTACGGACTGTAAACTATAGTTAACAACGTTAATCTATATTTTACATCTGTAAACCATAGTTAACGCGAAAATCTATGTTTCACAACCGTAAACTATACTTAACACCAAAAACAATCATTTGCGATTGCAAAACATAGATTATCTGATAAATACAGTTTCACGATTTGTAAACTATAGTTTACAAACCGTTAACTATAGTTATCGATCTGATAAATATAGTTTCACGATTTGTGAAACTATGATTAACAACTCTTTACTATAGTTTACGATTGTAAACTATAGTTTACAAACGTGAATCTATGTTTATCAACAAAATCTATTGTTAACGCTTTATTCAGACAGATAAACTTAGATTAGCATTCATAAACTATAGTTAACGACCGTTAAATATAGTTTTACAGATGAAAACTATAGTTAACGAATTGTTAACTATAGTTAACGGTCTGTAATCTATAGTTTACAATCGATAAACTTAGTTTATTAACTGTGAAATTATGTTTAGCTCATTTTTGTGAATTTGGCGTGCCACACACATCTGCTTTTTGTTTTGTCATGGCAGGCCAATAGAAACCTTAAAAATTATCTGTAGACCATTTAGTGAGAAAATAATGACCTAACAATTTGTAAAAGAAAGTACATATCGATACGATATATTGTATATGCTAACAAGGTCATTTATATATAGACCAAAGAATTCGCGAAAGTTGAGTGTAAAAAAGATTGTTGATAGTTCTATATCATCAAAATGTTTGTCAATAGCCTGCTTTGTTTTAGAAATTGTTTTATGTAGAACATGTCCTTGCCTATCAAATTAACTTGGAAAACAATATCACAAATGTGGCTCTTAATGATTTTTGCCATATAAATAAGGGTTAACGATAGAAAAGTTGAAATACCTCGGAATAGTTGTGTGTAGCATTAGAATGATTTTAATACAGTAATTTTGTATATGACAAATGACATCAGTTTTTTTTTCGATCAAAATAATACAGAGTAATTATAACATCAACACAACATTAGGTCCACAGAAGTTTCAATAGTACATGTATAAAGATGTTTCTGACTCTAATGTTCCGTCACAAAAGTTTGAAAGCGGGAAAGCACAAAATAAAGTTTTAAGTACAATTAAATCTTTTAAACTAAAACGTGCATTTCTTCAGAATTTTGTTGTTTTTCGACATGCAGGTGGACATATTTAAACACAACTTCCTTATGCATATTGACTTCTGTTGCAACTTGCAAGTTACAATTGGCACTTGGGTCCGTGTTTGCTCTGCTCCTATTTTGTATTGTTTAATGGACTTTTGAGCTTGAATACTGTTCGTTATTTCCACATGCTGAGTATTTCATGCATTTACCGGTACCTTAATCCTCCTGTAAAAAAGCGCATTGCATATAGGAGGCCAAAATAAAGCTCAATGATAAAGTACTCACGTTTCTAGTTGAATCAATGCTAGTCATTGATACTCGTTCTTCACCGTACAGTCTGTGGGAGTGTTGTGATTTATACAGCGGTGGGTACATCTCTAACTCTGGAACCCTAGGACTTTGATTCCAGAGAAGTTCATAGGCCTGAAATTATTACTTTCATTTTTATCAATATAAGTTTCCTTTGTCCATTCGTCGAAGAAAGCAAATATAACGTTTGAAATGTGTTTGAAGAAATAAAATGCAAAGAGCTTTGCTTGCATGCTTGTATTTAGAATTATTTTTACCAAACTTATGCTATTCTTAAGAATAGTTCCTTTTACCTGGTATGATCAAATTACACAAATGAAAAATGACTCATGTTGAATTAACAAATTTTAAGCTGTACATGTAGTACTGTATATGTTTTGTATTTAAAGATTTAAAATCAAGGTTACGGGCAATCGTATATCTCAACCCATCTTATACTATTTCTCACTACAGCAGTGAAAATCCTTTTGAACTTGACGTGCTTTAATTATTTCGTCGCAAATCATTTTGGTATACAGGTTCATCTTTTTTCTAAAATTATGTTAAAAATTGTTATAGTTCTAAGTGGTGACAGACCAAAAAAATATTCTTTAGTGACCATTTGACTCAAAGTTAATATTATAAAGCAACACAAATTATTGTGAAGCACAGTATAGAGTTATTATAATGCAGTATTTCACATTGCTGTTCTTAAATTTTAAAATTCCTGAATGATTAGACATTGTAAATATGATACAGATCCGTATATAGTACGTCGAAATTCTTCGTATTTACCCTATTAGCTGCTCCTGGAGTATTGTCGTATCGATACAATCTCTTTGAATCTTCTTTTAACTGTAGACCAGAGGTAAAGTCTCTCATATCTAGCTTTCTTGTAGAGAATTCTTCCTCTTTGCTAGTGACTCCAAGTCTGTAACGATATATTCATTTTTTTTTAATGACAATAAATAAGTGATATTGGAAACATACTAGTACTTAAATGGTTATCGATTACATTGTTCTTTGATATACATTACTTTTTGTCTCGTTCATTGTTAGAGGATCGCCTACAACAGATGATAAGTATGATGACAAGCAAAAGGAATCCTCCACCACCAACAGACAGACCAACCACGAACTCCATCGTCCCTGTTCTCTCCTCACACTGTGGTCCGTAGTACATCGTCAACAGACTCTTCTCACACCTACGTCGACAATATATGCCTTCTCTATAGTTTTTACTGCTTAATCCATTGTATTCTTCAAAATGTTAAGATGACTTTAAATGCGAGTATGTAGCATTGGATACTAGATACAAAGAACATTTTACTTTTAACGGTAAAATTCAACATGAATTTGAAATGATTGTAACAAAGTTACTTTTGGGATACATATTATTTTCTATAGTGATATCATGATAAAACATTCTCTTGGTTTCTAATATAATTGTTAAGTTATGACACAACCTACCTACAAGCTGTTTGGTTGAGAACGATGTCAAAAAAGCAATACCCCTTGTCGTTACAGGGTTTACTTTCAAGGTCACATTGATGCACACACTCCCCAGTGTAGTTGTCCTTAGGGGACACTGCACAACTGTATCCCAAAGTACAAAGCTTTCCCGTGGCTTTACACTCTGTCAAACCTTTAAGTTTTAATTTTTATATTTAATCAGATACTTGGATTCGTTCGGATATATAAGATTTGTTTCTTTCTTTCTTCTTAATTTGACTGTGAACTTCTGAAAAATAAGATACCTTTTGTTTGTTTTTCCAGACTTTCTTTAATGACCTGTGATGTATCATACACCTCATAGGAACCATTGCTTATTTGTTGTCTGTTTTTCTTTAAACAATTTGACGTTTCATTCGGAAATGCCCTAAGGCTTATTGATCCATTTTTCTCTCGCAATCTGCCTACTAGGATGGTTACATTGATATCAACTGTATGGTTCCCTCTAAGAAATACAAAAAAAATAAAATTAGAATTAAAAGTAAGTGTATAGTCATCATTATCCAGTATCACCAAAACGCACATAAATTAGTGAAAACTTTGAAAAAAGTGACATTATTTTTTTTAGTTCATAATTACATGAATTTGTATGCTTTTTCGTTTGAGCCAAAATTCAATAACTCAATATCTAAATTGAGAAAAGATGGTATTAGTTTTTATTTGACTAAAAAATGTCTGGCAGGAGTGTTTTAATGTATATTTACGAATTTTTAAATCTTACTTACAAATCCGGTGTCGCCCCTTTTCTTAAAAAGACATAATTTCCTTCTCTCCGATGCCTCTTATTCTCAATCTTAGGCTGGCGGCTACAATGAGTTGATACTATATGTAATTCAATAAATATAATAATTGTGTGACATTTATAGAAATAATGTAAATTTTATATTACTGTTGAAAATTAGATAAGTAAATTTTGAACTTGCATGTACAAATGTCGTTTTATATGTCATATGAAGTTAATTAATTTTAATTATAGAATTAAAGGAATAAATAAGAGATCTAAAAGCAGAATGATATGCATATTTTCTTTCCGGCATGGTTGCTATGTTTGTGTTCATGTCATGTACGAGTACATTGCAATATCATGTAAAATATGTGGAAACTCAACCTTAATCCAATACCTGACATGAAGCGTAAGAGTCCCATTATATCTGATGAAGACGTATTGAAGCAGCTGAAATTGAAAAAAAAAGTTAAATGAAACGCCTCCATCTCATTTACTTTATCTCAAACTATTATCAAAATATCAAAATTGCAGAAATTATTCTTTTTTTCTGGATGATTGTCCATTAAACATTTTGACAACAAAAATAAAATAATTATACCCTGTTGGATAGGGATTCATTACAAAAGTTTTCGACACCAGTTTTGTTCATCCCCAGTAGCAATTCAAAATGTAGATTAAAAATGTTTTGGGTTCCTGGAAAAATATAATTTTTATATACTAATACTTATAGAAAAAAATTAATTGAAAGAATTCAAGGTTCAACTAGACATATTAATGTTCCTTGAAAACACTGCATAAGTAGTTTCATTAGCCCATTCCTCCCTTTTCCTCTCAAAAAAGCTTTTAAATGATAACATGGATCATTTATTTCTAAATAGAATGAACGACAATCATACCAAATACAGGCGGTTCTGTTGAAACATGTGTTATTTTTGGAACGAAGAATGATGGAATCTCTCCAGATAAAGAGGTAGGTTTAGTGGGTGAGGTTTTTGACACAGTAATTTGACTTGTCTCTAATGAAGACGTTGTCTTTGTAGTCACAGTGGTAGACACAGTCGTATTGGGTGTAGGACTTGGTTTGGTAGTCACAGTGGTAGACACAGTGGGGTGTAGGACTTGGTTTTGTAGTCACAGTGGTAGACACAGTTGTATTGGGTGTAGGACTTGGTTTTGTAGTAACAATGGTAGACACAGTTGTATTGGGTGTAGGACTTGGTTTTGTAGTCACAGTGGTAGACACAGTTGTATTGGGTGTAGGACTTGGTTTTGTAGTCACAGTGGTAGACACAGTCGTATTGGGTGTAGGACTTGGTTTTGTAGTCACAGTGGTAGACACAGTTGTATTGGGTGTAGGACTTGGTTTTGTAGTAACAATGGTAGACACAGTTGTATTGGGTGTAGGACTTGGTTTTGTAGTAACAGTGGTAGACACAGTTGTATTGGGTGTAGGACTTGGTTTTGTAGTCACAGTGGTAGACACAGTTGTATTGGGTGTAGGACTTGGTTTTGTAGTAACAATGGTAGACACAGTTGTATAGGGTGTAGGACTTGGTTTTGTAGTCACAGTGGTAGACACAGTTGTATTGGGTGTAGGACTTGGTTTTGTAGTCACAGTGGTAGACACAGTTGTATTGGGTGTAGGACTTGGTTTTGTAGTAACAATGGTAGACACAGTTGTATTGGGTGTAGGACTTGGTTTTGTAGTAACAATGGTAGACACAGTTGTATTGGGTGTAGGACTTGGTTTTGTAGTAACAATGGTAGACACAGTTGTATTGGGTGTAGGACTTGGTTTTGTAGTCACAGTGGTAGACACAGTTGTATTGGGTGTAGGACTTGGTTTTGTAGTCACAGTGGTAGACACAGTTGTATTGGGTGTAGGACTTGGTTTTGTAGTAACAATGGTAGACACAGTTTTATTGGGTGTAGGACTTGGTTTTGTAGGCATAGTGGTAGACACAGTTGTATTGGGTGTAGGACTTGGTTTTGTAGGCACAGTGGTAGACACAGTTGTATTGGGTGTAGGACTTGGTTTTGTAGTAACAATGGTAGACACAGTTTTATTGGTTGTAGGACTTGGTTTTGTAGTCACAGTGGTAGACACAGTCGTATTGGGTGTAGGACTTGGTTTTGTAGTAACAATGGTAGACACAGTTGTATTGGGTGTAGGACTTGGTTTTGTAGTAACAATGGTAGACACAGTTGTATTGGGTGTAGGACTTGGTTTTGTAGTCACAGTGGTAGACACAGTTGTATTGGGTGTAGGACTTGGTTTTGTAGTAACAATGGTAGACACAGTTGTATTGGGTGTTGGACTTGGTTTTGTAGTAACAATGGTAGACACAGTTTTATTGGGTGTAGGACTTGGTTTTGTAGTAACAGTGGTAGACTCAGTTGCATTGGGTGTAGGACTTGGTAGTCCATTGATAGCAATAACCAGCAATGTTGATAAAATAATATCTGGAAAGAAGAATAAAAGTTAAATCGGTGCACAATGGTATGTGTTATATATTATTTTTTGTTGATATTTGGATTTCTTTTCGTTGAAATCTATTTACAGTCTAAAGCAATCCATTCCTAAATCTTAAAAATGCAAGAATGTTCAACAGGTACTCAACATACGAGTACTTTCAGATTAATGTAGAACATCATAAGGGTTATACTTTTTACTAAATTTTATTATAAACTAGAGGTACTGTGAGCATTGAGCTCACTAAATGATAGCCCCGCCTCCCGTATAAGTATAATGGCAGTGTCCATTTTTTTTTGCTGTGGGGTGGGAAACCCAAAATATGTGTAAAATTAAAAAGAAAAATAGGAGGTGAATAATGGCAATATGTAATAAAGATTCTGTGAAAGTTTCATCTTTCTTTCAGTGGTATGAGAGGAGTTGCAGATAAGAGATCGGTACTAGTACCCCAAAGCGTAACTGACAGACGGGCGGACGTACAGCTGGACGGACGGACGGACATACCGATTACTATATACCCTCCCGCTTTTGAAGCGGGGGTATAATAATTGTAGAAAAAATACTTTGTACTTTGCAAAATAAATTATTAGTTTCATTTTTTTTCTCTTGAATTTTTTTTGCTTTAGTTTTCATCAAAATGGCTCTGATAACTACTACCTACAACATTTTTGAGTGACATTTAATTTATACTAAAAAAGACAACTGTAAATTAAATCGTGTTAGTCATTGTTTAAAATCATATATCAAATGCAAGAGTTCATTTCATTTTTTAAGATATGCAAATATGTTTCGAGAAACACATTCTCATGTAATCAACTACAAACTTTGACATTCAAACCATAATCTAAGAACAACAACTAGATTGACTGATTGTATATTGTTTAACGTCCCTCTCGAGAATTTTTCACTCATATGGAGACGTCACCGTATGCCGGTGAAGGGCTTCAAATTTTGACCTTTACTCGGCACTCAGGGCCATTGAGCAGTGAGGGATCTTTATCGTGCCAACGCCTGCCGCTGACACGGGGCCTCGGTTTTTAAGGTCTCATCCGAAGGACCCGCAACTTTCACTTCAAAGTGCCGAGCGCATGGCGAAGGAACAGTTGCTACTCACTTTAACGACTAGGTCAGTCGCGGCCGAGATACGAACTCCCGACCTCCCGATCACGGAGCGAGCGCTCTGCCGACTGAGCTACCGTGAACGGTAACAACAACTAGAGGTACTGTGAGCAATGCGCTCACTAAATGATACCCCCGCCTACCATTTACTTTTTGATCCAACACAAAGTTTGGATTTCCCACAGCAAGACATGCTCATGGCCATATTGGAGGCAAGGGTATCATAGTGAGCTCTGTTTACAGTACCGCTAGTTTCTTATAATTTAAGAGCTATTGTCACAGTGACTGTTCCTCTGTCACTCGCAACATTTTAATTTTTTTTTTCATCTGTTCATTACATGGAATCTATATCAGAATTTTTAATTTTTTTATTAATTAATAACAAATTATAAATTTATGGTAAAAACGAAGATAATTTTTTTTTTAATTTAGCTGCACAAGTTGCTCTTTATCTGTGTTTTTGTCTCCATTGTAGAATAGTAAATTAAGAAAATAATCTATACTTACAGATTTTCATTTTCGCTGCTTTATATTTCATTTGAAAGCAAATTGAAAGATGTGGGGGTTTCTCAACAGCTCTAACATTTTTATCGATTGTTCTCTAATTCTGAATAACTGGATGTTGAAGCGTCCCTGATTGGTCAAGAATTTTCTTATCAGTCAGGGTGTGACGCCTAGTGCTACTCATGAGGCCCTGTATTTAATATCGGTTCTGCAGTTTTCTTTATTTTCAGAGGTTAGATATGACACACGTCTAATTATTACATTTTTAAATTTCTTATTAAGCTTTTGTTCCACTCTTGCAATACCGTATTTAGACGAGCGTAAAAGGACCAAATCTTAAAATGTTCGTAAGCTCTTAGGACTCGCATGGTCAATTTGAGAATTTTTTTCAGCGATATTCTTTTTTTTTATATCTCAAAGCCTAGAAATATAGTCTCCTTTTATGTGTATAGGAATCAGAAAATGATATCATTTTTTATGCTTTGAAAACGGAAAATACTTTTTTGTTAAAACATGTATTTTTTCATATGCCAAAGTGTACTTCGACGACGTGTGATTCACAGAAACAAATACAATTTATTAGGAGTGGGGTGGAAGCTGGGGGATTCAATGTGAGCCCTCACCCCTTCTAATGGTCATGAGCAAATGAGAAAGCCTAAGAAATTACAGATATATTTAAATCAATTTCTCAATGTTCACACGTGTATAACTAACATTTTAAAAAGTGTTTCGATTTTTCAATATGGGAATATATAATTTTTTAAAAAGAGTTTATAAAGTTTCCTTATACATGTACGTGAATTTGCCCGTCGTTTCAATACATTCATTGCTTTATTTAAAAAAAATCTCTGCGGTACATAAACCGTGTACAGTGTTATATATGTACAATGTATTCAAAAAAAGAGAGGAAAACTTATCCAGACAACACAAGAATAACATGGACATAATTCACTAGAATTCGTGTGACCTTTACATAAAGTTTATCGAAGAATTTCAATTTTAAAATCATGCAATCGAAATATTACGGAAGCCCTTTAAGGTCAGTCTAAAATAGAAATACTTTATAGCATATAAAAGCAATATATATTGCGTTTAAACGCAAAACACTAACAATGGCATCCTACCAATCAAACTGTCTTAAACGTATTGGAACTATACACTCTTAATAAAGTAGTATAAATAGCACTTTTCAAATTAGGCTGTACTCTTTGATTAAAGCATTTGTTTTCGAACCCATATGATTCCATGCCTATCTTCTTGTGTTTACTGTTTGCAACCATGGGAAGGGTTGTGAATACATATAGACATTCAAGTCTAAATACTTCATCATGTTGTTCGTAATTTCATAATGCATCATTCGTTTCCTGAATCCATTTACGCATGTACGTATGGCATGAACTTTGTGAATTTCAAGATATTTAGGAATATCTTCATAAGTTCAAATCATATCAATTTTAAAGCATTTCCATGTTGTGGATTAATATATCCCCTAGTGTTAAGATATTACCGTATTAATTTATGTGGACACACTTTTCATTGAAATATTAAGGGGGAAATCATTTAAAATAACTAAGAACATCAGAGTTAAAGTTACTCCAGTGAGCATTGTGGCCCATGGGCCTCGTTATTCAAATGCTTGTGAAATTATTTCTGATGTTTGGGACTGAATCTTCAACATTGATTTATATCCAAAAGCATGATAGACCTTGTAGCACTATATTCAAATCCCTTGAGTACTTTGATTGTGTCACATACATGTACATCCTGCGAAGTCGGTTTATAATATTACAGAAGGAAAAGAAGTGCTTTGAAATAAATGAGAAGTATATTGTCAAATTCTACATTAGGAATGAGCAAAATTAACCATTCTTACTAACAAGACATCAAACTGATCATGTGAAAAATATTTTTCTCTCGTTCTTTCATTGCATTCCACATTTAAGACTTGTAACTGAGGTCCCTTTTTCCTCTTGATATTTGGAAACCTTCCATTTCATTTGCACTGCAGGATCTGGAACCCCTTGCAGGTGTTCTTGCAAAAAAATGTCTTTGGTCTTTCATGGCTCCTATCATAAGCACTTAATTATCTAAATACAAACATATGGATATAAATTTTGAGACCTGAGTAAAATACAATTTAACTTTAAGGTTATCTGGTTGTTTTTACCTACCTTGATCATTAAAGTGATATGTGGCAAATTTTGATAAGTTCAGACTAATTAAAATTAAACAGATCTCTCTATTTGTTTTGTTTCTCAATATAAAGATAGAACTTTCCTGTAATTTACACAATGCATTTCATTGATATCTGAGATTTAAAACAACTAGAGGTACTGTGAGCGATGAGCTCACTAAATGATACCCCCCGCCTCCATATAGTTATAATGGCAAAGTCCATGTTTTGCTGTGGCCAGAAAACCCAAAATATGTGTCGGATCAAAAAGTAAAATAGGAAGTGCACAATGGCAATATGTAATAAAGATTCTGTGAAAGTTTCATCAAATTTCATTCAGTGGTATGAGAGGAGTTGCGGATAAGAGATGGGTACCCCAAAGCGTAACAGACGGACGGACGGAATTAACGATTACTATATACCCTCCCGCTTTTCAAATGGGGGGTATAATAACCAATTTATTTCTGACTCATATTAAAAAATCAGACAGGGTTTAAAGTTCTCTTAATCTATAAAAATGTGCAGATATTTAAGTTCAAAATCGATGAAAATTTAACTTGAACGTAGATAGCAAATATCAACTTAATGTACACTTAATCTCATTTTTTTAGCTTAGAGACGCCATGTATAGCTTTCAATATTTTTGGGAAAATTGATAAATGTCAGGAAAAATTAAACTCTCACACAAGAGCTAAAGAACCAAAGTTTATTGCACATTCTAATATTCTACAAAAAGAATGAAATAAATAAAAATATTGCACTTGAAGTTTGGCCTCCTAAAATTTCACTCCCACTGTAAGTAATTATGCAATGTATAAACCCAAAACAGTGTTTGCAGTTACTTATTTATGACAGAAAAATATTATCATACATACAGTGATGAAAAATAGCAGCATAACAAAGGATCTAAGAATAAATAAAAACAGCAAGTAACATCAACTTCAGTGGAGAAACTGTACATGTTTATATATTTTTTAAAAAAGCAAAAAAAAAAAAAATGTTATCAACATGAAAATGCATTCAATAAAAATAATTAAACTAATACAGTTTAATTAAAAATCTAAAGGCATATATCACAAAACTGCAACAAACAAGTCTCAAACAAATTCTAATAAATTAATATCAATACATATTCATGTATATTAAAAAGCAATATATCTATCAAACTTTTTACAAAACAAAATCTTAATCACAATATTGCTTTAGCATGATGTAATTTTCTTCATTTTTAGGTGTTTTTTGGTGAACGTCTTCCTTGTCAAGTCCTTTCTGGTTTAATTAATATCACTTCAGGATAATGTCTCAGACTTTAGAGCCTCATCCATGGCACCATTAACAAGCTCATCTGCAATGTCCTCCACACTGGAGCTCTTCTTGACCTCTGACCTTTTGACCTCTGACTCCATTTCTGAGTCCTTGACCTCCTTCTTCATTGTTTGTTTAACTTCACTGTTAGTATATTGATCTGTATTCTTTGAATCCTCCTAAAATAGCACATTATCTTTAGAAACACCATTGTACATATGTAGTTTGTTTCACTACAAATCATAGTCATGACCTTTGATGATCATAATAAGGCTTTTCAATAATATGCTGATTTTTTTTTCATTTGGGTAATTATATAGACAACATAAGATTCAAACAAAATTCTGATAACACTTAAATGTAAAGTAATTAACTTAATTTCATGTTTAGTAGTTTTTATATTGACCTTTATAGCTGTCTTTGTGACCTTGACCTCTTGTCTGATGAGGAACTTCTCTCTAAGCCTCATCAGTTCTGCCTCACTAGCTTTGATGGATTCCAGGAAGGATTCAGTGACATAGTTACGGAGCTTGACGGATGAGAACACAGCTTCTGTTCTGAATTTAAGCATTGTTTCTGATGTCTGCAGCCACTTGTCCTCCAAACATTCACTGGCAGTCATTCTATTTCTACAAACAAAAATAACTAAATCAAAACAGTCCCAATACTAAGGGTTTTACATTTTTTGTAATGTAAAGACATTTCTAATCTTGTAGGTTAAGAGCAAGTAAATCTTCTGGTGACCCACTTTAGTTAGCAAGGGATAGAATCTGACATCAAATTCTATTGCTGAATTGGTTTTTTGTCTTCTAAAATAAACATGTCAATAAGGTATGCTTATCTCAATAACCTGGTTGATGTTCACCATAAGAGAAACAAGAGGCCCATGGGCCTTATAGGTCACCTGAGCATTATTCAACAACTTTCCAGTGATTGAATTTGATCCATGTTTTAAGCCAGATGCTATAGCATTTACAATTTGGTAATCATAACTATACACTTAGCAGTTCCTTAGTTTGGTTACTTAATACCCATAGGCAGGGTAGGGGAACAAAAAATGCATTTCAACAAATCAGTAATATTCAGCAATAATCAGTAGTGCCGCTACCACACATGAATCCTTGACTCTTAGGCTTTGATCCACACATTGCACAATTTTTGGAAAGGCATCCTTGCTTTTCAAACAAATCTGATTAATACCAAGGAGCACATTTCAAACAATTCATTCATTTTCAGTATATAAGTACAGCCCCCCCCCCCCTCTATGGTACAACTGACCCTGGGGATTTGAAATTTACAATTCTTGAAGATTAGGTCCCTTGCTCATAACTATATAGGTAGTTCATCTGCTTAAAACCTAGGAACAAAGAACAAAATATTCAAAGATTTAATGTTTGTTCACTATACATGTGTAATCAATACAGCCCCCCCCCCCCCAACACCAAAATCCCTGACCCTGGGGCCATAAAATTCACAATTTTGGTAGAGGCACTCTTGCTTATCATAACTATGTACTTAGTTAGTTTATTTAATACCCAGAAGCAGAGAAATGGATTTTCAAAGAAATAATGTATTTTCACTATATAATCAATAGAGCCCCGCCCTAACACCAGAACCCCTGACCCTGGGGCCATAAAATTCACAATTTTGGCAGAGGCACTCTTGCTCATCATAACTATGTACTTAGTTAGTTTATTTAATACCCAGGAGCAGAGAAGAAGATTTTTAAAGAAATAATGCATTTTCACTATATACTTATTTAGCCCCGCCCTAGCACAAGTACCCCTGACCCCAGGGCCATGAATTTCACAATTTTGGTAAAGGACTCAATGCTGATCACAATCATGTATACAGTTTGACTGCTTGATGTCCAGGTGTAAAGAAGAAGATTTTTAAAGATTGCATTAATTTTAGTGGTTTTGGCCCCACCCCCCAGGCCCCAGGGGGGCAGGGATCATGAAATTCACAATTTTTGTTCCCCTTCACCCATAGATGCTTTGTGCCAAATTTGGTTGAAATTGGTTCAGTGGTTGCAGAGAAGAAGCTGAAAATGTTCAAAAGTTTACGACCGATTGACGACGAACGACGTACGACGAACGACGTACGACGGACGACGACGGACGAAAACAGATAGCAATAGGTCACCTGAGTGACTCAGGTGACCTAAAAATCCAAGAGCTGATCCCGTTCCCTATAAACATGTTATCATTCACAACTGTTCATTTATTTGAAATGAATCAAGGCAATGAAAGACGTGTCTGTGATTTAATATACTAGAGGAATGCCCATAACTTCTGACCACCAGTACAGTGTGCCATTACCTGGAGACCCGTTTGAGGACCCGGAAGATGAATTTGAGAGCTTCCTTTGTAATGTTCTCGTACAAACTCAGGGCATTGTATCTATTGTAGGCGACGTTTGTAAAGGTGGCCTCCTCATCTTGTCCCTTGTAGGGGGATTCCCCACTCAATCTGTGAAAGAAATGGCCGAGATTAATATCACCAGATAAAGCACAATCTCTCCACGCAATAACAGGCTCTTGATTAATTCTACTCAATCACTACTGCATACTTGGGAATTTAAACCTAGGTTATCATGGACAAGTTTAAGATTCTCTTTTGCTACTGACACATTGTCATTGCCAAATAAATTATCAAAATATAAATCCTTGGTTAATGTTGGGATATAAAAATAGATAAACTATTTTTTAGAACTTTATATGAAATTAACTTGAAAATAAAAAGTTGGTCATCAAGATCTTTATTCATTTGACTTACCTCAAAATATGTATTTTTTTTTTCTCAAAATATGTATTTTTTTCTAATTGCATGACTTGACATACAACTTGAGATACAAATGTTGCTGTCAAGTTTTTTCAAGCATTTTTAAAGAACAGGGAGGATTTCATGGTCTGCAAGAACCTTTTAGAAACATACCGCAGCATATGTTATGCAATTATTTTCAATATGTACAAGTAATTTAAAGTGGAGTGTTTTGAGATTACACAAAATACCACATTGTTCACATGCATGAATCTGAGTAGTGCTTTATGAAAATAAACATCTTGCAGAGTCAATACTTACAATAAGAAAGTTAAAACTCCAACAGACCAAATATCTGCAGGGTATGAGGTCGTCTCCTTGACAACCACCTCAGGGGCCATAAACTCAGGATTGCCCTCCCTGGGAACCACTTGACCTTCCTTGGTGACCTTCTGAACCAAGCTAAAATCCATGATTCTGACGTCCAGTCGGCGGCGATTGACCATCATCACACTACTGGGCTGGATGTTCAGGTGGGCATAACCATGGTAATGCAGGAACTGCAATCCATCCAATACCTGTCGGATCACTATGGCAACCATATCCTCCGTGTATTTAGATTTATAAGAGAAGTGTTCTACAACATTGACTCCAGATAGGTATTCCATTATCCAGTAATATCTGTCCATATATAAGTAAGCATCGTACAGGTGAACAAATCTCTCATGTTTCAGAGTACGCAGAATTTCTAGCTCTCTCGATAGTCTGTCTTTGTATAAATCAGAAACTGGTGTAATTTTTGTGATATTATGAAGTTTCTTTGTCTTGTCCGTGGAAAGCACATAGGATGAAGAGTAATTTCCTCTGAAAAATAAAGAAAAATTTAACATCCTGTCATTTTGCTCAAAAATGAATAAGTATTCAAAGAAAATTCTATAGCTCAATTTCATACACATTTCTATAATTTTTTCTCCTAAAAACTCCTAAACATCACATATGAAATAAACATTTAAATAAGTTACGCTTGTTATGTTTTGATCACCTCACCCTCAATATACTGTAATGAATAATTTACCTCCATAGAACATTAGATAAGCTGTACTGGTCCTCTATGTTTGAGGTCTGTAGAGTTATCTCCCTTGAGCTGATGTCCTCGGGTGACAGTCTGTTCTTTGGAGGCTGGTAAAATGACAGCCCTTCGTGTTGTTTTGACAGTTGGGAGATTGTGAATTGGTCCAAGCTGATGTCAGCAGAACCTAATAAAACAAGAGATGTTTGTGAAATTGGGAAAAGTGGCTAACACGATATTCATGTCATTATCTTTTTATTTGAAAATCATGTGAAAATTGTATAAATATTTTTTTCATGCAAATTTCCTGTGAAAAATTGTGTATGAATTTCATATAAAATTAATGATAATCTCTGAACATCTTATTGATTACATCTTGTAAACATGTAACTGCAAGTCAAATTGCACTGAATCCCTGACATTCCTGACTCTAGCTCCAATTTCAGCTTTGAACAATGTCTTTCCTCTTTCATCGTCGCAAACCACGGCCAAAATGTACGATCCTCTCTCATTCTGGCCGTGGATGAACTAGGAGAGAATTCTTCGTAGCTCATTAAACCAGAAGTCTCTGTCTAGACTGTAGCTCTACTGGTTTGTACTTATCAAAAACCATTGCACTATTTTATGTATCTTTGTGTAGTCTACTTGTGTGCCAACTTATTTTGAAATCAAACTAAAACTGTAGAAGGAGTAGCATTTTAAAGGAATTTCACAGAAAATTCTATTTTTAGTAACCATGGTAACACCGTTCATCGAAATCAAAAACCGATGCACAATTCTATGTATCTTAGTGTAGTCTATTTGTGTGCCAAGTTATATTGAAATCAGACCAAAACTGTAGAAGGAGTAGCGTTTTAAAGGAATTTCATAAAGAATACTATTTTTAGTAACCATGGCAACACCGTTCACCAAAATCAAAAACCGATGCACTACTCTATGTATCTTAGTGTAGTCTACTTGTGTGCCAAGTTATATTGAAATCAGACCAAAACTGTAGAAGAAGTAGCGTTTCAAAGAAGTTTCACAGAAAATTCTATTTTCAGTAACCATGGCAACACCGTTCATCGAAATCAAAAACCGATGCACTATTCTATGTATCTTAGTGTAGTCTACTTGTGTGCAAAGTTATATTGAAATCAGACCAAAACTGTAGAAGAAGTAGCGTTTTTAAGGAATTTCACAGAAAATTCTATTTTTAGTAACCATGGCAACATCGTTCATCAAAATTAAAAACCGATGCACTATTCTATGTATCTTAGTGTAGTCTACTTGTGTGCCAAGTAATATTGAAATCGGACTAAAATTGTAGGAGGAGTAGCGTTTTGAAAAACTGTTTACAGACAGACGGACGGACGCCGGACGCATTACTATCGCATAAGCTCTTCTGGTGTCTGACCAGTAGAGCTAAAAATTGACCAATGCGAGTAAAGAATAGTTGGATGATGAACTTTATCGCGACCTTTCAATGTCCAATCGCAGTGTAGGAAATATTTATTGTATTCTGTTGACGTCAGTTGTTGATTTCAATTGCGATGGAAACAAAACTTGTCACTGACTGAATATGACGTCACAATAGAGAGGCGTAAATATTCAAGATTACGACACTTTTAGTGTTCAAGCAGCCACGGGTAGGAGAGAGCTATATACTGCGGACTCCGGACCGTGGCTTGAGACGATGTTCCTCTTTATTCACTTTTGATTGTAAACACTGACCTTTTGGTTTGGTTGTGATGAGGACTGAAGACACACTGTATGGACTGTCTCCTATATTGTTGGTACAGCAGACTCTGAATCGGTAAGATGTACTGGGACTAAGTCCAGTCACAAAGGCACACTCATTAATGGAGTAAGTTCCTAAACACCATCTGTCT